GCCGGCCATCTTGGAGCAGCAAAGGACAAGAAGAAACTCCATTTTCTTGCTTTTTACTCTTAGTTTAATCTTAGGAAAATAATCAAAAGTGAAGGAGTGAGTTAGTGAGTGAAATCCATTCAACTCTAGTGTGTGATCTTCAAGCCTTGAAGCTTTTGGTTGGTGGTTGTTTTGGGTGACTTATTCAACTTGTAAGAGAGGTATGTGATCTTTAATCCTTGCTTTTATGGTATTATATTAAGTATTTAAAGGTTTGAGGGTAAACTAGAAGTTGTATGGATGCTTCCTATGGCTAAATCTCTTAAATTAGTGAAGTGGTAGTTGGGTTGGTTAAGTGGCCTACCATGTGTTTGATTAATTGTTAAAGCTTTGATTCATGGTTTTAGTTAGGGTTAACACTTGGTACGTTGGTTAAGAGGAAAACAATGAAAGGATGAAGTAAGAAAAGTAGTGGTATGCACTAATAGCCCAAATTCCAGATTTCTGGAAATTCAAACTTCAGTCCTACCCGGTTCCAGTTCGTGATGTTAGAGGCCGAATTAGGCTTATCACAAAATATAAAAGTTGTATATAATGATGTTTTATAGTTTCTTGCAAAATTTCAGCCCAATCGGACCAACGTAGCCTATGAAAAGACTGAAATACTCTTGCTGCCCTGTTTCTGTCCGAAACTGATAATCAGCTTTTGTAATTGGTTACTTTGACTGGGAATACTACTGATTTGATTGTCGATGTCTTCTGAAGAATTATAGCTTGTATCTTAGCTTTCAAATGGCTTTGGAATTACCTAAATCGGAGTTGTGTGTGCTGAGATATGCTTGAATAAATCGGGATTGCTAGTTGAATTTCACAGTGAGTTTCGACCTGGAAAATCTGGGATTGTTTTGGTAAATTTGACCTAGTTAGGGTGAGAATTGGACTAAGTAGTTTTCATCAAAGTTATAGCACTCTGTTTTAGTTTCGAAACGATATAACTTGTACTTCAATCCAATAAGCGTAGTTTCAGTTAAATCTGATACGCTAAGTAGCGGTGAATCTGCCTTTTTGGTTTTCCAGCTTAAAACTCATTTCCGGTCATTTTCCTAGCTAAATTTTGTACTTGTATGACTTTGAGCCTATTGAACGGCTGTTGTGATGAATTTATATTGTGTATGACTTTGGGATTGATTGAGAAAAATAATGAAGCCATAAGTGGCTGGGAAAATAGGTAAATACAGAGAGCATGCTGCCCAAAATTTTAGGGCTACACGATTCCTTCAATTGAGTTTATCTTAGTACAAATGAGGGGTTTTGGGGGTTGTTTGTAACCCTAGGACCAACTGTTATCTTTTTGCTCAAAAGTCATATTTTATTCGTTTGTACTAGTACGTAACCTGGAAAGGCGTACGACATGTAGTCGAGTCTCACTTGTGCATTTCGTTTAATCGATTTTGGATGTGGAACCTTCAATTGTTTTATTTTGATGATTTTAGGTTTTCTTGGCGATTAAAACCAGTTTGAAGTGAAAACTTTTGAAATATCTGTACTTGAACCGGTGAGTGTACCACTCCCCTCATTTGCTGTTTAGCTTGGTTTCTGCCCCTGCAATCTGCGATTTGAATGACTGAACTATCTGTTTATTCTGTTTGAGACGAGAGTGTACTTTGTCACACTCGTTCTCTTGTCTGTCCATATGCCTATTTACTGTGTATAATCTGTTAACTGTATCTGAGTCTGTTCGGACGTCATTTGGAGGTTGGTATCCAACGACATTTCTGTGACCTCTGAGCTCAACACCTGTGGCTAGTTACTCAAGTCGGGCCGGCAAGGGCCTGGTCGATTAGATAACGAACCACGGTAGTCTGTTTTGAGAATCTTTGGGTATTGAGACTCTTGATTCCAGTATACTCGAGTATTACCATTACTGTTCCTGAATGGAATTCAGGTCCGGTAGGGGTATGTTTGGTGGACGGAAATCGGTGTAAAGTGGGGTCTATGGATATGTTGGTTCTATTTATATTGACGGAGGGTCAACGGGTTCGGATCAAGTACTGCAAATGGAAATCTGGCTCCTGAGAGCCACTTGTATCCTTTCCCTTTGAATCACTGTGTCTAAATGCTTTATTTTATATATGGTATATGTATCTGATTGATTAAACGTGAAAGGCCATGATTTTACCCCTATATGTTTGGTACCTCATTGAACGTAATCTCACCCCTTTCTGTTGCCTTTGTTTTCCTTAAAGGGGACAAACTTGGAAATCACGGTTTTAGAAGAAAAGGGTCAAGTTAGTATATATGTCATGTTGTTAAACTCTTTTGAAAACGAAGCCCTAATTTTGTTTTGTGTAGTATGAGTACCTTGGATCGCAGTGTATGTTAATTTGTTCAAGACTTCAATATAAATATATGTATAAGTGTTTAACCTTGTCTATTAAATGTATTCTAGTGAAACTATGATTTTATGATTTGGTAGGCATGTTCTCACCTTAGTAATTTCCGATTGTTCATTTTCTTTGGGTCCTATCGCGCGTACTATATTGGGTTTGCGTGAATCAACTCTGTAGTCCTGGCGAGAGTTGGGCAGGCAGTCCGCACGAACCCTTTGATTCGCCTTAGGGTGAGGTGGGGCTGTCACACTTTTCAGTACTTAAAATTCAACAAATTAATTGTTTTAGTATTCAGATTCAGTTTTATCAAACGGAACATTGGATTTAAAATTTGTAAAAAAACATATTGCTTCATCCTCTATTTATAGGTAGAAGAATATAGAAGTTACGAAGGTAGAATTGAAGACTTAATCATTAGTGAATTAAGAATAGTTATTGGATGATTTTAATTACAAAATATAACTTTCTAGATTAATATAGAGTGGTCAAATTCACCATCAATATGGCCTGGTACAAAAGTTTTTAATTTATGCATAAAATTTGTAATTCAAATTATTGCTATATAGTTTTGGGATTTTTTTATTAAAATAATTCAACAGTACTGAAAGCTCAAAACAAAACCAAGCCATGTGAGTAAAATTGCTAAAATAACCCCATTGTACTAGTGCGAATGAGATGAATAGTGTTGGGTATATTTATAGGATACACTAAATGGTTGTAAAAGGTATGATTTTAGGGGAGGTTAGTGATATTTTTTAAATTTTAGAGGTACCAAGTAATATTAACATAAATCTCGATGAGGTTTCTAAAATTATCTCTAACCGAAACGGTATGGAATATACCTTTTTACAAGTTTGAGGGACAGAAATATACACTTAATAATTAAAGGATAAAATCGATCAACTTAATAGTTTGAAAACCATCCAGATATTTTATCTCATAAATAATGGGACCATGAAGTACTTCTACATGGAGGACAAATTCATAAACATTTATGCACGATTGTCAATTAAAGTTGTATGGGCCAATGTGAGTGCTGATAGTAAATATAACTGACGTAGGAGCTATAACAATCCAGATATTTTATCCCATAAATAAATGGGACCATGAAGTACTTCTACATAGAGGACAAATTCATAAACATTTATGCACGATTGTCAATTAAAGTTGTATGGGACAATGTGAGTGCTGATATTAAATGTAACTGACGTAGGAGCTATAACAAGAAGCATAGATTTTAAGAAAATAACGGAATAAAACACAACACCTCATGACACATTAAAAGTTGCGATTCAAATAAATTTCATCCATATGATTTTATATTGAATCAATTTCCACAATTACTAACACTTTTTATTTTTTATTTTTATAAAAAGTGAATTTCATTAATGAACTTTCTAGAAATTGCCTAGTACAATTTGATTTACATCACAAAAGTGTGCACTAATTGTAGAATAAGCATGCACTATAGATAACAGATTTATAATTTAATAGATGTCAAGATCTAAAATTTTATGTATAGATCTAAAAAAATACAAAAAATATCAAAATGTCTTCTAATAAGATAAATGAGTATAGTTTCTATGTTGTAATGGTCAAATGTGTTAATAGAACAGAAAATTCTCATTATGAATTTCTAAGAGAAACAGAAAGCTCACACTAAGAAATTTCATGAGAGATTTTATTAGAAAAATAAATTAAAAATGGAATCCATGGAAGGGAGACTACACGAAGAGAAAGGGAAGGCCTTTTGAGAAGAGAAGAATAAGTAGATAAAAATTAAAAGAGAGGAGAGGTAGAGAGAAACTGGACACGGCATGTACAATCCATTAATTACACTCTACAATCACTCAGTATCCAAATTTTATTTCTCAAAACTAACCCATTTCTTTATGAAACTATTCATCATTGACTCTGACTTTTGGACAAGCTGATACCAAGTAAAAATCAAACAACATTTGAAGGCCCTAATCTTGAATTTGTTAACCCAGGGGTTTGCCCTTAGGCAACGTGATGTCACTTCCAATCGAGTACCTGGTCAAGGAAAACGAAATCTCATGGCCAGCTAGATGGCAATAATTAAAATAGTAGATGAGGCATCATAGTTTTGTTCCCCCAAAGATTGTGGACGGTATACAATTTGGCTGAATTTCGGTATATCTTAAGTTTTATTCAAAGTTGAAATAAAGCTTGTGACATTATAGATCACTAGTATTAGTGTGGTAATTTTGATATAGACTTTGCAATTCTATTTTTATTTGGTATAGCTAAACGATATAAATTGTGCAATTCGGAGTGTTGTCCATGAGATAGGAAGGATAACAAACGATATATCAATTTGAAAAATGAAAAGAACACAAAAGGACACAAAGTTTGAGCTCTTAGAATATTTGAAATCAAAAGGTAGGAATTTGGGTGTTGTTAAATCATTTCTGTTGCATGATATGAACCTTGTAAAATTATGGTGCTTACTCCTCTATTATATTTAGGATTGCAAAACAAAGTGAACTTAGATGCTTTCCACCATATACTTGAGAATAAGAAATTAAGAAATTCATTATGCGAATAAGAAATTAATGATCAACCATACCTGGAATCAGCATAACGATCATGATCAGGGATCCATCAATGTCATCGAATTGTTACAGACTGGAGTGATGATGACATGCGAAGCATGCGATGTGGCAGAAAACAGAATTCTTCGCAACCAAACAAGGCTAGGTGCTGAAGACCTGGCAACACCAAGACAGCATCTTCTTCGCCTGGTTCAATGTCTTGCCAGGTTTGCCAATTTGGTAAATGACTGAACACTAATATCTTCAACCTGGGAAATGCGACTACGTTAGATTCACCAAGAGAATCAATGTCCTCTGGTAGTCCAAGGAACTCGCGACCGATGTATGCTAAACTCTGCAATTCCACAAACTTAAACTCTTCGAGGGCCGCCGGTAATTTCCCCAGTGCTGGTAAAGATAAGACGTCAACGATATGAAGAACTCTCAAATTGTTGAGGGCTGTTTCCATCCAGTTTGGGAATAGGTATCCTGGATATTTACGGATTGTGACCTTCTGCAGGTTTGGAGGTGGTATCAGAGATTCTCTCTCATCTATGTCCAATCCTGAGCACGGCATACTATACTCTAGAATCATATTTTTGAGGTGCTTCTTTCTTCGAGTTTAGCATTTGCAGTTCCAACCATGTCAAAGATTTGAATGTGCATAAATTCCTGAAGTTGGTTTAGGTTCTTAAGACTGCTCCAGTTGAAGTACACTGTACCGATTTTGACATTTGTCAAAGTACGAAGCCAAGTCATTTTCTCAAGCCCTTGAGGAAATTCGTACAACCTGAATGTATTCAAATTAAGCAGATGCCTCAAGTGTGTGAGACTTTCAATCTTTTGAGGAAGTTTCATTAGATCTTCACATGAATTGATATCCAATGTTTCTAGATAGAATAAGTTGCAGACTGTTTCAGGTAATTCCCCAAAGTGATTATGGCTCAAGTTCAAGTACCTCAGATGGATCAAATCTCCAATCTCGCTTGGTATTTCTGCCAGACTACAGGCGCTTAAACTCAAAGTCCTCGCACATTCGAGATGATTGATGAAACAATCTTGAGGAACATTCATTTTTTGCGAGATGTTTTGTAAGGTCATGCACTATATCATGGATTTTGCATGAGACAACTTTTCTATCAAGGATATCCTTTTCCTGTTCTTGAAAAAAGCAACGTGCTACTAACAGAGTAAAGTACTCGCGTCCCCTTTCTTCCATCTGTATTTCATTTGCCTCTGATGAGTTGAGAATATAACTTTGTGCCATCCACAGTCTAATCAAACCTTCCACGTCTATCTTCAAATTTTTCTGAAAGACTACACAGTATCTGATGCAACATTTCAGTTCAGGAGACAATTCATGATAAGTTAAATATAAAGCAGGGAAAAGTTCAACGTCCACAGATACTTCCTCCAATTCCCATATCTGATTATCCAGTATGTTTTGCCAGTCTTGCACCGTATCCTTACATTGTAAGCATGGTTCAAAGACTCGGCCAAGACCGAGTCGTCTCCGTCTCGGTCTAGTCCGAGACGAGACCGCGACGAAACGTTTCCGAGATACGTGACTCGCCGAGATGTCACCGTGAAAAGTTGAAATGACCGAGTCACACCGAGTCACTCCGAGTCATCCCGAGTCAATTTGAATTTTTATTATTTTTACTAATTTTTTAATTATTTTTATTTATCATATTTTTTATAATTTTTAGAATATTAAGTGTTTCAAAAATTCGCGTCTCATCGAGATCGCAACCGATATGCCGAGACCGATGTGGAACGGTCCAAACCGCGACCGCAACCGCAACTGCGACTTTGAACCATGATTGTAACAGACTTCCCACAAGTTTTGCAGCTCGTGGTGAACCATTACACTTCTTTGCAACCCCCTTGCCAATCTGTTCCACTTTCCCGAAGATTTCTTTACTCCTCCCTTGGAATGCTCTCCTGGATAATATTTCCCAACAATCTGAATCAGGCATTTGTTTCAAGTGGTGCATATAAGTTGTGCCCATCAATTGCGCTCTTTCCTAGTTATAACCAAGATTCCACTTCCACTGACTCCATCCTTGAGAGAGTCTCTAATTTTCAGCCATTTTATCTCATCCTGAATGCATACACTATCCAAGACAAGCAAAAATTTCTTCCTAGACAGAGTGCTCCTAAGATATTGGAGCAAACTATCCAACTCTGACACATTAGGGGAACTCTTCCCTGCAAAATCATAAGAATCTGGTAAACATACCCATTTCTAGATGTTCTAAAGTGAGTTTTCACCATATCATCATTGAAGACTATCCTAGCCAGATTTGCTTTTCCAATTCCTCCAGTGCCAACTACAGAGATAACAAGAACTCCAACATCCCTTTTGTTACTACTCTCAGATACTAGACGGCCTACTATAACATCCCTGTCAGATTCTCGACCAAACGCCTCTAACTCATCACAAAGATTGCTACCAGGTTTTTCACAAGTAGCTAGATGGCTTTTAACGAACTTGAATAGAGCTGCCTCATTCCAAATCACTTCCAGTTCATCATATATTGCCTTAATTCTCGAGGCAATATGATGTTGCACCCATAATTCTTTGGAACAACAGCAAAAAGATAGGATAAAGGAACATACCTTCTTTCAAGTTGTCTGAGTACAAAGTTTCTGTATCTCATGGTTCCATTCATCCAACAAATCATCAATCTCACATGCTATGCCATCAAGCTTTTGTAGCCAAATTCGGACTTCTTCCTCCTTCAGTTTTCTCCTCTCGGCATCAGACATCAATCCTCCAATTGTTGTCAATTTCTCAGAGATATTTTTCACCTCTGTTTTGACACTTTTCATGGGATTAACACTCTCTTCTAATTGATTCAAGAAACCATCAGGCAATCGCTCTGATATCTTAGCAAGGGGCAGTGCAGCCATTGTTTATTTCTTGAAATGGTTTTGTTCAGTTTATGGTTGGGTATGATCAAGTGATAAGCAAGCGATCAGCTCCAATATCACAAGCTTTACAAGAAAATGGAGCTTTTCCTGATGTTGAATATACAACAAATTTTAAATTCTGAATTATTTTACAAAGATTTCGACCATCCATTGTCCCACAACTACAGAAGGCGAATTCCTATTTGTAGCTGAAGAAAATTAAACAATTGCAGCCAACTCTAACATGCGTTCAAGTTGCTCTTATTGAATTGGAGGATCCTGCTAATCAAATTAAGTATTAATTCACAAACAATTGAATTAACAAGTCCCCAAATAAACAATAGAATTAACAATATATAATTGCTGAACTTGGTGAATCATATAAAGCTGAGTCATAGTCTTGAATTGATTTGCTCATTATTAAGACTTTTTGTGCTCTTTATTCTCCCATGGATTGAACTTTTAATGTGTTTGAAAAGGTAATAAGAATTAAGATAATACATATTTTTTTGGGGTAGGTAAATTAAGATGTCTCCTCCGTGGACTCTTAAGTCTTACCCTCTTCGGACTCTTACATTCATCAGCAACACGAAGAAATTTCCGTTCTCTCTCTCTTGCTATAGTACAATTACTTCCATGGCAGATGTGGTGCAACGGGGCCATACTACGATTGGGGTTTATGGTATAGATATAGAGTACCGATCAAAAGAATTAGGATAATACATTGCCTTAGTGAAAACATATAATGCTAATTAATTTATTAGTTATAATAATTTGTCACACGTAACGATGGCAATAGATAGAGTAAAACACAAAACATGCACGTATCCACATCATGGTTAATCCGATTGGATGACCAGTGAGATTATGTGTCATGAGAGAATTCTAGAAACCCGATAGCCGTTATATATATATAAATATATATATATATTTGTGTATTTTTAATCCAATTTAGTAGTCCAATAATATGTTTCTTAATTTTATAATCCAATAACATATAACTCTAACCCAACACAAATAAAGATCATTGTGGTTAAAAATAGAAGAATGTTGATTTAACCCTTCATTATATGTTGGATTATACTCATGCAAATTCTATGGGTTTAGCCAAGTTTAAAACTCAATGTAGTATGTTAATTTAATATGATATATGTATTGATTTTTGTTTAATAAAAGTTAATTTCTTTTTTTGAACTATTCAGTTTAGTGGATAGAATGTATCCGATGGATAATCTAAACTCGTGAATAAGAGGATTTGGTAATGGGAATTGAAACCTATAAGATTACCCTATAGGGTTTGATAAAATACTTAGATATACGTTAGGGTTTGGTAAGCACGATTTTTGAGGGTATACAACCCATTGTTATCCCTAGTTTCACATAATATTACCACCCATGTGCCAAAATATTGGACATGAAAAAGTAGCATGGTAATGCTGATTTCAAGGCATTTTAGAGATAATATGCGCCTCTTCATGTTCGTTATAAATTTTGAAATTACTGACTATAAAAAATTATTAATAGTCGAAGATGTGACAGTCCCACCTCCTCCTAAGACGAATCAAAGGGGTTTGGCGGACCACTTGCCCAATTCTCGCCAGGACTATCAAGCCGAAAACATGATTTCCAAACCATACGGTACATAAGAACTTCGATTAAATGTTCCAACATAAAGTGTAAAGAACTGAGGTCACGTCAGAATCCGGCCAAGATTTGGCTGGATTACCGGCCGAATAGCTGGCCGGATTCAAGGCAGTGACTAAAACGAAAACTTTTCATTTTCCCCTGACAATCCGGCCAAGATTTGGCCAGCTATACGGCCGGATTCCCTATTGTGATTTCCCGCCAGATTTCTTTTCTTTCCTTGTTCAAGTTTCGCATTCGCCCGACTTTCTAACGAATACAAGAAAAGTACACATCATCATAGAAACATGCATTCTCAACTATTATATGTAACCATATGCTTGCATAAATATATACATTGGAGTCTTTACAAGCCAACATGTTATATTTGGTCAAAATACAATGAGGATTTACTACTACAGAGGAGTTTGAACAGAAGAATATCTACAACTAACTCTACTCTTTTCTCCAAAAATCATGGTTCAATTATTTTGTCCCCTGTAAGGAAAACAAAGGTAACGGGAATGAGCTTTCACCCAATGAGGTACCAACAGGTCAAGCAGTCAAATATCACGGAAATATGCATGTAATCAATCAAATATAGATATCAAATAAAGAGGAAGGAACATCACAGTTAAACCAGAAGTAAAAGGATATAGATGGCTCTCAAGTGTCAATTTCCTCTTTTGCATTACTTGATCCAACCCCATTGACCCTCCGTCAACGTTTAAAGAAACAACCATGATCGTAGACCCCACTTTACACCAGTGTCCGTCCATCAAATATACTCCTTACAGGATCCGAACACCTCACAGAAATAGTGGTGGTAATACTCGAGTATATCGATTAGTCAAGGAGATAACACTCCACTCAACAAAATAGAAGACCCAGGGTTCGTTCCCTAATCGACCAGACCCTTGGCAGCTCGACTCGAATAACTAGCCACAGGGTTTGAGCTCAGAAGTCACATCAAGGTCGTTGGATACAAGCCTTCAAACGACATCAAATCAAGCACAAGTAACAGAATCAAATATATAC